CTCATGTCAATGAGAGTATCGTAAGCCATAAGCCATTTTGTTTAACAATGATGAACAGCCCACATATTTATAGGGTGTCTACTAATATGACTAGAATGCTAAAATAAGAAAATAATAATAAAATAAGTTACTAATTAAATAAAAAAGAAAACCATAGAAAATATAATAACTATAACACTCTTGCTAACATATAATAGTTACAGTAATAATCCTATATTAGTGAAAATGACTGATGGTTCAGCATCATTTTCACCTACCCAAAAGAATCTTACTTTGACCAGGAATCACAAATAATAGTCATCAAGTAAATGTGGATCCGTAAGGAATTTCTTTTCAAGTGCCAATGATCTTTCCACTTCAAAAGGAGTATATGGAGGCCTTGTCGGTAGAATAATGTATTCATTAACCAAAATATCTCCAACAGTGCCTGTTGACAGTAATAGGTACCTTAGAGCATTGAAGCCAAGTATTTTCCAAGTCATTGATAGAAAATCAGTAGGCCCAAAGCTGCCTCTGATTAGGACACTAATCTGAAATAGTGAGGACTGTACTAATATTCACATGATTGGGTAATCAAGTAATAGGTCCAAGACTTTCTTTAAATGAAAGAAGAGTCAACGGCTTGAGGATGTCAAATCTAACTAGGAGAAGATAACACTTATATTACTGTAAATCATGAAACTTACACTAGGATAGTGAGAAAGATGTCAGAACATTGCCGATGAGCCTTGGCCCAAAGGGAACCAGAAAGGGCATTTTCTCCCAAATAAATTGACCTGTAACGATCGGTTGTCGAAAATCTGCCAATTCCTTTCTATCCAGATAGTCCAGAGACTAGCAAACAGAGTTCCTGCCACAGTTGTCTGGCCTTTGTCTTGACCCCGGAATCACCAATATCGTTGTTGATGAAACAATCCAAAAAAAGGGCGGGGTAACACATACTAGGATAAAAGTGTCAATGAGCTTGATCTGTAGCTTCGACATCATTTCTCAATGTAAAAAGAGACGAGTATGTGCTTTCCCTTCCTTGTGGCACATAATATACATGTAAGGGGACAAAGCTCGGTTAGGCCTACGAATTTATAGCTGGTGTTTAGCGTGTTTAAAATTGCAGTCCACACGAAAACCTTCATTTTGAGGGAACCTTGACTTGCTAGAAAGTCTTGGTAAAAGTGCTTTGGTAAAAATCAGGGGTCTCTATTATATGACTATAAAAAAGTGCTCTGTTATCTGCATCATAGTTTTTTTAGTTAATTAAATATATTCTCAACTAAAATTTTTGGGTAGAAGTCTGTTTCTGTTTGGAGCAGTTGGTAATTCATTTTCAAGATAAAAGCAGATATCATTTAAACATAAAATTTGTGATTCCGTTCTACCTTTTAAAAGTAGTACTATAATTAAGCGAAGAATAAGCTAAAAATCGAAATGAGAATTGAACTGCAAAATTCTTGATTATGTAAAAAACGCCTGGTGCCTTAGCACCTAAGGATTCCATTTTAAACCGTGCATCATAAATGTTGATTGTGGAAGCATTGAAATGCCTAAGTGAAGTTCCCACATTTGCTTTCATTTGTTAGTGGTTCTAACTGGTTTCGACCTTAGTACCTATGTTTCATTGTGCCTATATATTTACTCTATGCATTGGGGAAGTTTTCTATGTCATTATAGTTATTCTAGGTTGCTCAATCCCATTCCCCAATATGCATTGGAATTTTCAAACTTGCTCATGGTATAATCCATTTTGGTTCTCGGATGGGATCCTTAAAATTAGGAAATCAGATTTAAGGAGAATTAGGATAGAGTGGGATTTCAGAGATTGGGAGAGAAAATAGGATGGAGATACTGAAAAATTTATTTCTTTACAAACTTCATTCAAAATTGAGGTAGTTTAAGTACTTCAAAAAAAATGAGATGGTTTAAGAGTCAGATCTCAAAGTAAGGAGTAGTAGCCAATAAACAATATGTTCTCCGTTGGAACTTATACATTAATTATTTTCTAAGAAAGAACTTGTAATATATTATTTCTTTGTTATCCCAGAAATTATAATATAATTTGCCAAAATGCCGAGTGGTAGTTTGTCTTACCTTTTAGTTCAAAACTA